AGCGTTGCCATTTGAGCTGTCTCGCGTTTCCACGGACGAGAGGAGAGAGAGAGAGAGAGAGAGAGAGAGAGAGAGAGAGAGAGAGAGAGAGAGAGAGAGAGAGAGAGAGAGAGAGAGAGAGAGAGATCCCGCATCCATGTAATAAGTTTGATGAAAATCGCAAGGATCTGTGCCCGAAGGTAGAGATGAAGATGGATGCGAACATGAATCTCTCGTCACAGCCGCCAATTTTTGCCGACGGCAGCCAGCAACTTAGCGTCCTTGTCAGAGAGGCTTCAAGACGTACTCAGCTGTTGAGATTATATGGCGTCGCCTGCGTACCACCAGCAGAAAGAGCGGACACTGCGTGGAATGGGACCCTGTACCTCTGGTTTTCTGTTGTGCACAATCACCCGATGGGCAGCCACCGAGCGATTGACGATCCACCCGCCTGCCCGAGTGCACGGACTGGGTTATGGCCCACAGTGATTAGTCCACCGCAGTGCCCACATATAATTGCTACGGCCCCGTACTGAGCACCGGGCGGCGCGCGGTCTCCAACATCCAACATGCAACAGCAACATCCATGCTATGCAATGCCATAACTTGTAGTCAAGCTGCGGCGGGCCGTGTCACAGTTCAGGTGCATTGATGACGGCGGAAGCTCGGGATGAGGCGAAGCGCGCAAAAGTGATTTTGGCTTGTTTCTTCCCATCCGACGTAATAAGGCTTATGCCAATTTTTCTTCCTCAAGATGGGAAGGCAAGACTGCTCGCGCCAACCCCGCGCGCCCAGCGCCCGTGCGCCGAGCACGTAACTTTGGGCACCTGTCCAATCGGGAACAAAGTAACGGAATCGATCAGCTAGGCGACGTCTAATTGGCGAAAAGCAAGCGTTTCAGAGCAATCCTGCGACATACCGTCACATCATGTCATGGGAAGCAGCTGGCGACGACGAAGACGACACAGATTTGCGCCACTGCGCAGCAGACACATTTCACCTATCTCACAGCCGCTGCACAGAGAGCGGCGCTCCCTCACCGGAACTGTCGTTTGGCGAAGCTGAGCAAATGTACAGACGAGCGGAGAGGGTGCCCGGCAGGCGGCGATCGATGGCCATCGGCCAGCAGCGCCCTCTCCAGCGCGGCCGCCGGCCACTCAAAGCATAACGACAGAACGGCGGCCAGAGCCACGTTCACCACCAGGTCGGCCAGGAACCAAAACACGAACAGCGTGTGCGTGAAGGCGAGCGGCACGCGCGCCTGGGTGGCGAACCACACCTGCAGCTGCATGGAGGTCAAGTATGTGGCGAATGTGAGTCGGCCGAGCGGCACCCAGGCGGGCTGTGAGAGCAGGCTGTTGACCGGGCCGCCGTGGCCCGTGGCGCAGGCGAGCACGACCCAGCCGCAGGCCAGCCCATGCTGGCCGGTGCAGCGCCGCGTACGCCACGGCCACGGCCGGCGTCCAGGCCCGGCTCGGATCGCTGTTGTAGGCGTGCATGCCGTACACGACCAGCAGCCCGACGGCCGCAGCCAGCGCCCACAGCAGCAGGTTGAGCGGCGCGCTAAGGCGCGGGCGCAAGCGGCCAGTGCGCGCCCCGTCCAGCAGGAGGCCCAGGCCCAGCCCGATGATGTAGGGCGAGGCGCGCGACCACGGCGCGTTGTACACGAGCAGCGTGAAGTCGTTGCGTCTGCCGGTCACTGGCGTGCACGTTGAGGTTGAGCAGCGTGGGCGGCAGATGCTTGACGTACGTGATGACGCCGGGAATGATGGCGGATACGACACCCCAGAGCGTCAGCCAGGCGGCGCCGGCACGCCGGTTCCACAAAACGGCAGAACTAGTAGCGGTGCCACCACGAACATCTGAAAGTCAAGCCCCATGTACCAGGCCTGGTCGATGCACACCGTCTCGTCGTTGGGGTACAGGTTGTTGATGTAGAGCAGGTTGCGCCACCAGTAGCGCCGGCAGCCGGTGACGCCGAACATTCCGAAATAAAGCGCGGTGAAGGAGCCGCGGCCGATGTGGCGCAGCAGCGTGGCCGTCAGCCACACCACCACCGCGTACAGCGGCGTCAGGCGCAGATACCGGTGCACGTACATGCTGAGCACCTCGCGCACGCCGATCCCGCGGCCGGCACGCTGCGCGTTCATCAGTGAGTAGGAGAACATAGCGCCGCTGAGCAGCAGAAACGTGTCGACAGAGGGGGGCGCGTTCATGATGGCCTGGAACGGCAGCGGCCGAATGACATCCGGCAGCGCACCCATGTTGCTCAGCGGCAGCAGCAGGAAGCCGACGATGTACGTGTGGCCGAGGATGACCCAGGTCATGGAGATGAAGCGTAGGCCGTGTAGGCAGCCGATGCTGTCCGGAGACGTCTGCACGCTCAGCAGACGTCGCACGTTGCGATACAGCGAGAACGCGCGTACGAATACCGTCCGCCAGCCGGGTGGCAGCGGTGCGCCTCTGTACACGGCACCCGGGCGCGCTTCGCGTGCGTAGCAGCCACGTCGACAGCCGTGCAGCCGAGCACTACAAGTCCCGTCAACGTCAGGAAGGCGACGGCCGCCCAGTCGCCGCCGTCGAGCACCGGCGCGTCGTCGCGGCCGTGACACTCGCCGACGACGGCGCGCAGCCCGCTGCCGTTCAGCAGCAGGCCCAGCGAGGTGCGCACGTCGTGCGCGCCGACGAGGGCACGCAATAGGCGTAGCGCACGGCGCCCGGCAGGAGGTCGGCCCATCGGCAGTGCTGGTGCCAGCTGCAGGCCCGTCCTGCTGGGTGCAGACGTGTTGCTGGCGTCCGGCACAATCGCGGCCGCGCAGAGCCGGCCAGAGAAGCCGCGCGCGGACGACTGCAGGCCACGCGAGGCGTTAAGCGCCGCCTGCACAGCCAGACACTCGTCCCAGGCGCCGAGCAGGTTCAGGTTGCCGAACAGACGCCGTCCGGCAGCCTGAGGCGTCGGCCATGCGCAGCGCCCAGCCGGCTGGCGGCCGACTCAGCAGCGCGTGCAGGTAAGCCCGGCTGTCGTTACGGCACAGCTCGGGGTACGCCCGACTGGAAGGGCGCGAGCCAGCCCAGCAGCCAATCAAACGACGTCTCGCCGTCGCTCGTCGCCTCGTCGCGCGTGAGCTCATCGGACTCCTCCAACGTGTCGGACTCCTCCAACTCGTAAGTGCGCACTGTGCGCCTGGACCCTGCGGCCGGAGGCGCCTTCCTCGCGCGCGCCCAGTCTGTCACCGCTCCGCTGCCACGCCGGGCGCCGCCGAGCGCCGCAGCCGCGGAGGCGGCCGCGCGCCGGGCCTCGGCCAGCTGCGGTCTGACCAACGCTCACGCGTCGCGTCCGGCACTCCGCACGTGAGCTTCAGCAGCCTGGCCAGCACGCCGGCCGGCAGCCGGCCCGCCGCGACCGGCACGCACCCGCCGAACGGCGCCAAACGGGCGGCGGGGCGCGGGGCGTCCGCGCCGACCGGCGCCTCGGCTCGCACGGCCAGCACCACCGCCGCCGCCGCCAGCCAAGCGAGCACCGGCGCCGCCATCTCCGCCGCCGGCCACGCCGCACACATCTGGCTTGCTGCGCTCTATCGCCGCTATCGGCTGGTGGGGACCGGATCGACCGAGCCTAGCCTATCTGAGGTATCGACTGTCCTGCAGACAAGGGGTGCTTGAGCCGCGCCACCCCGCGATGCCGGGGGCTTGGCTCGCGCAAACACTCTGTGCCAGTCGACTCGACTTGCACAGGGCGTGATTCGTCGCGACAGGAAACGCAAGTGCTCGGTGTCTGCGATTTACATAAAAGGCTCTGCGCTGACGCAGCCATCGGATCGGCAGTGAAGATGATGGTGCTCAGATCCCTGTGCATGATGCCGGCCGGAAAATGCTCTTTGCTGTGGCTACTCCATCCTTGATCAGGTTTACCTTCTCAGTCAGTGGCGCAGTGTAGCATACAGTTGGGATGCCGCCCAGCTACGACGAACTCCAGCCCAAAACTTTGATGACGGAACTGACCAAAGCCTCGTAGCGTTGGTTCCACAGCATCTTCGACCATACCGCGCTCACCCTCTCTTTTTCATCCTCGCTTCCCCCCCCCCCCCCCCCGAACCGCTCCAGTAAAACCGGGACACCCCCCCCCCCACGTTCTGACATTTCAAGCATTCAAATGAATGCGTTTATTCAACTCCGCTCTATTCGTATCATTTATTTCAATGCATCAAAGGTTCACAGCACAGACAAACGTGGTGCTGTTTGTTCGCTCGGATGATTACCCTCGTCGAGGCCTTTGCTTGTGCCCGACGCCTGCTCCGACGCAGGTGTTAGCACCAACGTGACACAGGCCGGCTGCCGAACCCCCTCGTGAACTGGGCTGGAATAACACGGAAACAACGCAGGAGAGGTGGACAGTGCTGCTCTGCAGCGGCGAGCGCGTCGCAGCAGTGCGGCATTCTCTCAGTCCATCCAGCAGTACGGCCACGGCGAGCCCGGGGCGCCATGGCCCCGCAGCAGTGCGGCACTCTCCTAGTCTATCCAGCGGCACGGCCTCGGCGAGCCCGGGGCCCATTGGCCCATCCGCACAACGCTACGATCCCCGCTCCGATACCGGTACTACCACTGCTAAAGGGCTCGAAGTTTATCCTCTCTGTCGCACCTTCAGGTCAAATGTCTCGTCAAAATGCAGCCTCAGCCATACATGCCAGCTGAAGTGTACAAAGCAGGTAACTTAACGTATCGTACTTATCCCAAATCGCACAAAAGCTGGTAAATTAGGAAGACTGCATACAGCATCGCAGTGATAAGAATCGCGCAAAGAAGGGCAGTGGCCGCCTTGGTAAAAAACGTCACAGCTCCACCACAGTAAATCATTCCACTCTCTTTAACACGGAGTGCGCCCCCTCCCCTCCCCCACCAACTCCGTGGTCGCATCATCATAAAAACAGGCGCAAGAAATCTGAGCGACGCCCCATCTACTGGTCGGCCTTGAAGGCACTAGTTGACAACGGAGCCGGACGTGTCGCTGCATAGCCGTGACTCCAGAAACTGGTCGCAGATAGCTTCGTTGGGCACGGTGACCACCATCCGTCGTTCACGGGCGTCCTGGATCAGGTGCGACCAGACCTGGTCCGCCTGAAGCAGCGAAGCCGACGTCACAGCGGCAGGCGGTGGTCGGCCGGCCCGCCAGCGGCGCCACACCGCGGCGCGTGCAGCGGTGTGGCGCCGCTGACGGGCCGCGGCGGGCGGCCGAGCCAGCCCAGCGCGGCGGCTTGGCAGACGCGCGCGCCCCGCGGGAGGCACGGCCGGCGACCCCCACTGCAAGTGCATTCCGCCGAGCTGACCTTCACGGGGGCGCACCCGACACCGCAGCGGCGTGCGCACACAGCGGCCACCTACGGTCGGACCACGTGGCTGCAGTCGCTCCTCGCGTACGCCTCGGACAAGGTCTGAACGCAGCCGCGGCCCCGGCCCAGCGCTCGGCAGTCGGTCAGGAGTCTGGGCAGTCTCAAGTCCGGAGACAGTCTCTGGACTGTCGGTCAGTCTCTGGCCGATTGTCAGCCCACGAGGCGAGCCCAAACCACGGGCAGAATAGTGAGACCACGCGACATGGTCATCATCATCCGCACCAGCTCCGCGCCTCACATCAGGGTCACACAACCACAATCACAGACAACACCAATCACAATCACAGACGCCAACCACAATCACATCACCAGCGCACGCATCAGCGCGTGGCTCACCTTCAGCGTGCCGAGGTGGCCGCACACGTAGAGGCAGCAGCGGGCGCGCGTCAGCGCCACGTTTAGGCGCCGCCGGTCGTCCAGGAAGCCGAGACTGCCGGCTCCATTGGAGCGCACGCACGAGAGCACGACGATGTCGCGCTCCTGGCCCTGGAAGCCGTCCACCGTCTGCACGTCGACGGACAAGGCCCTGCGGCGGCCGACGCCCGTCAAAACGCGACCTCCACCGGGCGCCCTCCCGGCGGGGCCTCCACCTGCTTCGGACGTCATTGCTTAACCGCAGGCCATTTGACGCATTGCGTGGTCCGCACAATGTCACGACTGCGCTTGCAAAGACAGATATGGCAACAAGCCCGCAATGGTGTGGCCACGACTCCAGAGAGCCCTAGGAGCAATGGTAATTCATGGATCTGCAGACAGGAAAACGATTTTATCCGATCATCCACCACAAGAGCTTCACTCCAAATGCAAATTAGTTACAGCTTCAGGTTGATCGCTGAATCAAACGCGCACAAGCAAAAGAAAAACAGACAACACAATTTCCGGCTTAAAACCAGTGTTTTACATTCGCATGCCGTTTTAGGCTGAGAGAGACATTTTGAAGATCAACCAGTGCAACTCACAGCCCTGCCCTTTTTAAGACTTGGAACCCTCTTGTTTGTAAGCTAGACGGCCGCGAACTTGTACAGACTATTTCGCGCCGACTTTTTCAAGGCTGCCCAGGCATACATGACGCCATGGGAGCTTCACGCCCGTGCTGTCGCCCACAAGCCATGTGCTCAAGGTCATATACACATGCTTCTGGCACCCACGGACTTCAACTTGCTGCCAACCAATGTTGTTCGTTCAGCGTGAGTTTCAAACGGAAATCACGTTTGTGGTGCATCACACAGGATATTGGACAATGACACGAGTTACGGCGGAAATAAGACTGGTAATCAAAGAAATCTTTATTGTTCTCCCTTGCGTATCAATAGTTGTGTTCGGGAAACACCGCACCGATTAGCAAGATACCTCACGAGAAGTTGATGTACTGCCATACAAGTGAGTTAGCCCGTCCGCTACGGTGCCAATTTTGCACGGCCAGTTGGGCGACCCCTCAGACGTCATAAAAAGTTCCATGATGTTATCAAATGACGCATACTGAGGAGGACACTCACAAAAAGGGAATATCGTGATAACATAGGCTTGCAACAACACACCTATATAGTACAAATTTGCTGTCCAATAGTTGCAAGTGAGGTTACTTCGTCATATCTGATCCTTGCCTAAATATCGTCAAATGTGGAGCATTGCCCTTAAGCTTCAACGAGCTAACTTTGTTATTGAACAGTCACTGAGTTGGCTAATTACAGTTCAAGCAGCCTCAAATATCCCCCCCCCCCAAGGCCAGTGGCCAGTGCCAGTGCCAGTGCCAGTGCCAGTGCCAGTGCCAGTGCCAGTGCCAGTGCTAGTGTTTGTGCTAGTGCTAGTGCTAATGCTAGTGCCAGTGCCAGTGCCAGTGCCAGTGTCAGTGTCAGTGCCAGTGCCAGTGCTAGTGCCTATACCAGTGCTAGTGCTAGTGCTAATGCTAATGCTAGTGCTAGTGCTAGTGGTAGTGGTAGTGGTAGTGGTAGTGGTAGTGGTAGTGCCAGTGCCAGTGCCAGTGTCAGCACCAGTGCTAGTGCCTGTCCCAGTGCTAGTGCTAATGCTGCTAGCACTAGTGCTAATGCTAATGCTAGTGCTAGTGCTAGTGCTAGTGCTAGTGCTAGTGCTAGTGCTAGTGCCAGTGCCAGCACGTAAAATTCCCTGCCACCCAAAAGACTTGGATACCGAAAGTCTTGGAAGTCCACTCAGAAAGCGTTGGACACCCGATCCATGACGGATACTTAGAATGCCCCAGGTCCCTGACAGAATGATTAGGACAGCCCCGATCCATGACAGGATACTTAGAATGCCCCAGGTCCCTGACAGAATGATTAGGACAAGCCCCGGTCCGTGACAGGATGCCTAGAGTGCCCCAGTCCCTGACAGAATGATTAGGAAGCCCCGGTCCGTGACGGCGTGTCTGGGACACCCAGTCAGAGGCATCATGGCGGGGATGATGCGGGCACGGAAGTGCTCGCAGGTGGAGTGTCGGAAAGCCAACGCCGAGGAGAATATTTGCGGCCGCGTGCGACATTCACCTTTGCTTGAGCTTGTCCAGGAGGAGCTGCCTCTGTTTGCGGTACGGGGTGATGATGCCGATGGAGGGGGCTCTGCTCTTGGCCACGCGCAGCGCGATCTCGCTGAGTTTCACCACCAAGTCGCCTCTTTCTCATTCGAGAAGCCCCTGTCGCAACAATGCACCACTCGTTGACATGTTTTCAACATTTCTTGTCGCCACGTTCATCGAGTCTGTGATATCTTCAGCCCAGCAAATTATCCAGTGCTTAATGGTGGAGATGGCAACCGCGCCACAGTGCAAAACGGCCCACTTTCGCCTAGCATCGAAGAACATTCACAAATAAAAGTGTCATGCCTACACCTAGCCTTCGCCATGTTAGGTCACACTGAGCGTGACCTCTGGCTCGGTCAGACACACTCCAGCTGCGATCGGCGGCCCACTCTCGATCGCCGGACCGCCGGAGCCGCGAGCCGGCCGCCGGCCGCCGTCCGCACCGCCCTCACCCGTTGGCGTGGCTGGTCTCGCGCGCCCCACAGACGTCCAGCACCAGGTAGCTGCGGAGGCGCGGCAGCGGCGGGCGACCGGCAGCGAGCGCAGTCGGTCGCCGTAGAAGTAGCGGGCCGGCCAGCGGCAGATGTCCGGCTGCATGCGGTACTGGTCCGTGAGCATCACCACAGGGCTCGTCTCCTTCGAGGCCAGGAACAGCTGGTAAAGCCGCTTCAGGAGCGGACGGGCCAGCCATACTGTTGCGCCGTCTGGGGGCCCAACAAGGCGGCCGGGTCAGCTGGTGGAGGCGGGAACAGCAGCATGGGTGCGCATGCGTGCGTGCGTGCGCACAGCGACACAGCACGGGTGCCCGGAGAACTGGCGGAACGTAGCGCACAGAGGCCTCGCGGTACGTGCACTCGAAGGCGTTTCGGCACGTGGTGCACTGACTAACCGCGACACGGGAGCGGGAAGGGACGAACAGCACGGCGACGGAAAGGAGAGGGAGGTAGCGGGTGAGGCAGCGGACACAGGCCCTGCTCCGCGCTGCACCCTGGGTTACATTCGGCCTGAGTGGAGCGCGGGCCGCCACCAGGGCTTACTGCCGGGGAGCGGGGAGAGGGCAGCGGGGAGGAATGGAGGCGGACCACAGCCCGCCAGTGCCCGTGTTTCACAGCCGGTAAAGGAGCGAGCCTGGCTGACGGTACCTCGGACACGACGGTGGGCGGCAGCTGGGCCGGTCGCCGACCAGCACCGCTTCTTGATGCCGTACTCGAGTGGAATGAGCACGTCTGGCTCCGTGCACTGGCCTGCCTCGTCCACGATGCAACAGGTGAACGGTGACGGCCTCCGTGACCCAGCCGAGGTCAGACGATACATCCGGGTGACGGCGGCTGCAGGCGGCGCGCGCCGTTCGGCCCGGCCGCATCGCGCTCGCTACCGCCGTTCTACCACCTGACACAACTGACAACCGTTTACTGAGAGCCGACGGACGCGTCTATCAACGATACAAGCCTGGCCGACTGCGAGGGGCGTCTGCAGGCCCACAGGTGATGTTCATGCACCGTGAACGAACGGCAGGTGCGGTCGAAAATGTGCTCATGCTTACCATACACCATTACTGCAGCTGGTACCGAGTTGAAATGCAAATGCAGCTTTTCCATTGAAGGATTCAGTTGGCATGTCGACTGAGCTAGCAACCTCACGACAATACATGTCAGGTGGCCTTGCCGAGCTTAACACGCGTCCAGGTTTGGGGGTCAGCTTGACCTCTTCCCTGCCTCGAAATTTGCTCCGAATGATTTCCGGACGGCGCGGCGCAGCCGCGCCAAACATGCATATCAGGGCAATTGATAGCGGATCTTTTGGTCACCTTAATCTTTGAAAGTCACACCAAATTAACTGGTCCCAGATGAACACCACTGACCTTCTGTTAACAACAGGCATTTAGGTGCGTGGGCGGTTGCATGACGAGGGTCTGAGGGCACTTTGGGACACCATCTAGAGTTTGGCCTTTTGACATCACTCGAACCCAAGTCATGAAATACGAACCTCAAATTTTGACACATGCGATTCGAAACGCAAGGTCATACCAACCTGTGAATTTGGGTGCCTCGACATATCTTAGTTTCCGAGATCTCATGGGGGTGGGGGGGGCAATTGAGCCCCCACACGAGAGAAGCGCATTCAACTAAGCCCGCTGGTGCGTCCGCGTCGTGCACAATCACGTGGATTTCGCGCAGCCGCCACTGATCACCACAGGCCACAGCAGCCAGTGTAGAACGCCAGCCGAGGTCGGCGAAGCAAGGCCGAGGCCGAACACCATCGCACTCACGACTGAAAGACGTTTGGTCAGGAGCTGCGTACGGAACTGGCCAGTCGTAGCGATGACAGTGGCACCTTTCAGCAGCTGGTCCCGCTGCTTCCTTCAGCCGCTGCAGGTCCTGTCCTCCACCTGGAAGCCGGGGACATGGGGCGAGTAGCTGGGTCAGTGGGGTCCGAGCGGCCAGGGACGCCCGTGGCATCGGGATATGAGGGTCGGAAGGTGGAGAGAGAGAGAGCGAGAGAGCGAGAGAGCGAGAGAGAGAGAGAGCGAGAGCGAGAGAGAGAGAGAGAGAGAGAGAGAGAGAGAGAGAGAGAGAGAGAGAGAGAGAGAGAGAGAGAGAGAGAGAGAGGAGAGAGAAGAGAGAGAGGAGAAGAGAGAGAGAGAGGAGAGAGAGAGAGAGAGAGAGGAGAGAGAGAGATCGAGAGAGAGAGAGAGAGAGAGAGAGAGAGGAGAGAGAGGAGAGGAGAGAGAGAGAGAGAGAGAGAGAGAGAGAGAGAGAGGAGAGAGGAAGAGAGAGAGAGAGGAGAGAGAGAGAGAGAGAGAGAGAGGAGAGAGAGAGGAGCGAGAGAGAGAGAGAGAGCAGAGAGAGAGAGAGAGAGAGGGAGAGAGAGAGAGAGAATGCCACTCAAAACACGACGGGCGCGGCACAAAGGCGCGTGATTGGAGACCAGGTGCGGTACGCATGCATAATTTCGTTGTGAGGGTGGGGAGTGGGGGGAGGGAAGGAACACGTGGCCTCCGGTATCATCTCTGAATGCGTTCCTGATGGCGGCTACGCTACCGTCACCGGAGACAAGGGGACACCAGCCAACACTGAGGCTGGAGCACCCCCGGCTGCACGATCATACACACCACCCCACCTTGCGTAACATCTGAACGGTTCGCGTCCCATCCAAAGCGGCGGGACATGGCGGACGGACTCTGGATGCTCACTAACCGCGGCCGGCTGCTGCAGACCCCTGCGCTGCTCGACCAGGTCCCGCAGCGCGGTGCGCAGCTCGTGCTCGTCACCGTCACCCGGCTTCAGCTTCTGCAGCTTCTCCTCAATCGTGCGGATCCGCATTTTCATCTGTGCCATCTGTGCACAGGCGGGCGGTGCCGGGGACGCGTCAGCGGCAGGTCACCCCTGGTCTACGAACGCTGCCGACGCGCGGCCATGCAGCGCCCATCAAACACCGTTCAGTTGCCGCACCGAACCCACAGGAGAGCTTCTCTTGGAAGTGGTGCAAAACGCGCAGCATTCAACTGACTGAACATGAAGCAGCTACCCAAACCGCAACATTCGCCGTTTGCCACACAGATGAGATGTCTCATACATGACTTCAGCGAGCAGCGCCAACACATCGCCGGCTTCCCTCACACGCATTTTCAAACGAATCGATTCCGCGCCCCTCCCAGCGGCCCAGACCGAGCCGAAGTTGCCAGGCACGCCGCCCCGCTCTTCCGCCTCCGCGCGAGCGGCCCCCACCTCGTGACTACAGCTGGCACTCTGCGGCACCTGCTTCTTCAGCAGCTGCTTGACGTTGGCGTCCACCAGCTCATCCAGGCTGATGCGCGCGACGGCATCGGCGATCTGCGAGCGGCGGCCGAAGCGTACCACGCGGATCTCCGGGACGTTCGCTGCGAGACGCACGACGCGCGTGAGGACGGAGCCGCACCGGCCTGATGAGGCGAAGCCGCGCACGGAATACTCGAGCCGCTCCTCCACCGTCAGACACTACAACACGCCGAGAACGGTCTCCACAGTCCAAACCGGAGCGACTGGCAGCTGGCAGCACTAGCGCATATCAGCAAACATCGGTGGAGCCGCCGGGACCGGTACGGCGGCACCGCGGCCGGTGCTGCTGGGCCCGGCCGGCCCACACGCAGGCCGGTCAGGTCGCCCCCGCCCCCGCCCCGTCTGTGCGGGCATACGCACGTGAGCCTGGGGTCCGCCGCGTCAGAACGGCACGCTCCTCCAGCAGCCGTTTGGCGACCTCATCGACAGCGGCGTTGGAGGGGGCACAGAGGAGCACGCGCCGGTCCTGCTCCGCGCCAGCCGAGAACAGGATCTGCTTCACAAGCGAAACCACCAGCCGCGTCTTGCCGGTGCCTGAGGCCGGGCCGTGAGCACGTCAGGGGCGACGTCGCCCTCCGCTGGGCCAGAGTACGGCCTGGCCACTGCCGCCGCCGGCGGGTGACGGTAATCAGTTGCGCGGCATTTGGCTGCAAGTGCTTATGGTAAGCATGGGTGCAGCCAACCAAGCCGAATTGTTGCACGCGCCCACATCCGTTTCGGTGCCAATTTATGTGGTCAAAACACAAGAATAGTCCATTCTTCCCAAAAGCTGCTTGGCTTCCGACCCCACGGACCCCAGCGGTGTTCAGTATGACCATGATGGCGCGGTAACGTGCGCGTTATCGAGAGCAGCCTTCGACGCGTCCCCGTGCTGCTCCTAATTTATACGAGATAGGCTGCCATTTAGAATCGCACTGAAATACTTCATGGCAACTTCACTGTTTATTAGGTCTATCACAATACGTATGTGACACTGCGCTGGCAGACTGCCCGAGGAACATCACGTGCCAGTGTGTCAAGAAGCACGCGGTGCGGCAGGTATATTGTGCGTAGTTTTCGAACTGCAAAAGCTTCGCGTATGCTATGCGGTGCTGACTGCGCTATCTCCTACAATTTGAGAGCCGCTCGCAACTCGTGCACTGGCGCGTCGTCTGACCGCAGCCGCCCTTCGATCCATCCGGTCTTAAACAGATCCCTCTGGTCTTTAACAGACATCCTACCAGCCGCACACCCCATGGCAAGCGGGCGGTCGGTCGGGCGGGCCGCGGCACCCACCTGGTGGTCCGCGGATCACACTGATGCTGGGCCGGTCGGGTCGGTCCGTCACTGCTCGCGCCACCCGCAGCACTATGTCCCGCTGCGTGGCGTTCAGCGCCGCGTGCTGCCGGCGAGGCGGGGCGTCAGTCGCGGCAGGGCCCACTCTCCGGGCCTCGCCGAGGCCGGGGCCGGCGGCTGGCAGTGGCACGGGGGATAGGCGGTGACAGACGTCTGTCGGAGCTGGGGCTTGGGGGCTTTTGGAGCTCCTACCCGGCCTCTTCAACTAGGCTACGACACACGCAACGTCTCGGCTGCCAAGCGTGTCCTAAAGCGCCAATGACGACTGGAAAACGCAAGTCCACGACCAAAGTCCACAAGCACAAGTGTGCGTCCACAACCATGTGTGAACACGAGTACGGGTCTAGACCATGCGTAAGCGCAAGTGCCAGTCCACAACCATGCACAAACACAGGCGTAAGTTAACCTTCAGCCATTAAGAAACACTAGCACATCATACAACTATGTAAACCAATTAAAGGTCCGCAATGAATTTGTTAAAAGAAAGCAACGAATTCGGTGTATATCTTTTTAACTGTTTAAGGTTCTGGCACCAAAGCCCGCGCTCTGCAGCGCCTCTAAAGCGAACGGTGACCACGACATCCGATCGCCAGATTTCAGTCGAACGAAATTATTTATTGGCGAAACATTCCGTGCCGCGATGCTTGCCCCGTTATTGCAGATGTGCAGACACAGATACCATTATCCCACCACGCACAAACGTAAGAATGGTTCTAGAGCTACGGCGGCCGCAATGCGGATTTACAACCACGAGCAAATTTGATATAAGCAAGAAAGACGTTGAACTCCTGGCTTATCGGCATTATGGGCTCCGAGTTCCTCTGCTGACATTATCAACTTCCCATATCCGAGGAGACGCTAGTTGAACGACGCTATTTAGCAAGCATTGGTCCATACTCGAAGTTCCAAGGCGTACTCAGGGTCACATCGTTTAACCAGTGCCTTCTGGTATATTAAAGAACGGCGAATGCCAGCAAAGAACTCTACACTCATGGGGCACGAGCCAGCGCAGCAGCGAACCCACAACTATACGGTAACGCCAGCATACATCTGCAACCATGTGCAAACACGGACGCGGCTTCAGGCACCCGACGGAACGGGCGCCGGCGCGGCGCGGCGCGGCGCGCACCCGGCCCCAGACAGCGGCGGGGACCAAGGTCTGGCCAGCTGACCTCGGTGCCGGCCGGCAGCCCGGTCGGTAGCTCCGGCAGCCGGTACACGTCCTGCCAGCGGACAGGGTCGAGCAGGGCGTGCAGCAGCGGCGACTCGCCCAGCTGGCGCACGGACGAGAAGAGCCGCAGGTCGGAGCGGATGTAGCTGACCGACTGCGGCCGCGACGGGGGGCGCGTTAGGTCCGGACAGCTGCGACGTGTGGCCAGCCAAGGCGAGGCAGCGGTGGCAGGAGAGGCGGCCAGGCCGGGCACGGCAGCATCACCATACAGTTGGCCGTTGTCCCTCACGTGTCAGCGAGGGTCTGGGTCTTAACATGTTTTTATAGGATATTTTAGAGAAGGGTTCCTGGTGCCAACAGTTTAGACGAGGCAACTTAGAAGTGCATGCTCACAAATGCCCGCGGAGGTTTTTCCCAAAGGAACGAACCAATCATCTCCGTTCCGCCCGGCGGCTACTCCAATCATGGCCGGCCCGATGTCAGACGCGCCGCCGCGCACCACTTACCGACATCTTGACCGGTAGGTCCCAGTGGCCCTCGGCCAGCCCCTCGCGGTGCCGCAGCAGCAGCGTGCAGCTGGCGATTGCGTACTGGCCGAGCCGTTGCTCCGCGCTGAGCCCGTCCCGCAGCACGCCGGCGAACTGCTCCAGCCTCTGGCGGGCGCCGCGCACCGCCGTCAGACGGCCGCGCCACCCAGCAGCCGCGGCCGGCACCACGACAGCGCGGCCGACGCCATGGCGGCAGCGATGGCGTCGGCCGCGCGACGGCCACCCCAGACAGTCACAACGCAGCGGTGCATTCCTGTCCGTGCGAAATACGACCGAAATCCACAGAGAACGTCTCTAAATGCAGTGAAGCCGCTCACCTGTCTGAGCTGGGCGCTGCCCAGCGCCTGCCGCTTGAGGTGCTCGACGTAGGCAAACGCCTGGACGAACGCGCGCCGCGCTGGGACACCCTGCTGGGTCCGCTGCGGCAGATCCACCACCACCAAGGCGCCCAACTCTGGGTGGGTGGCATCCCGCCGGGCCGAGATCAGCGCTGCCGGACACGCACCATCAGCTGGCCGCGACGGCGACCGGTCCGGACGCGTGATCGGCGACACAGCCGCCCAGGCTCGTACATACTAATGCTGATACAAAGCGTTCGCGGCCGCGCTACGGTAAACCGCGCTAGTGCATGCCGAGGCAGTAATCGTATCAGTATTTTCAATATTCGGTATCTGGAGGTGCTCGAGTACATATTGTCTGTCAGTGATTCGCGTGACATCCAGATCAAGCGCGGCGCCCGAGGAGCTTCTTTGAGCCAAACACACGCATAGTACATCCACCCATGTCCACCATGCAGATGTGCAGGTACATGGCGAACACCACTCTTCGAAGAGTTGTTGATTCATGACGAACCTTCACAGCGCAGTTGGAGGAGACATCGCGTCCCCGGTCGAATTTTGACACTGGTCTGCTTGTTAATTTTTATCATGGCCCTGAAAATCAAATACACAAGAAGTCATAGTGAATAATGCAAAAATGTTTCAATATCAAAACAGCAAGAGCACCGCGCCTGACCATGGCGACCAAATGCACGTATTTTGAGCCACCGCGTAAAAGCTTTCTTGAACAATTACGCTAGTTGTTTTTTTAGCTAAATATGTGGAAAATTCCGGCATGCCTTCGCGACTAATTTCATACATTCCGTTTCGCTGTGAGCTGTCTTCTTACAAGGCCAGCATTTCGCCAAATTTAGAAACAAAGTGGTATTTCATTTGATGGGCCCCGTGCCCCGAGCGGTCGCGGGACACGATGAAATTAAAAAATGGGACAACGGCGACGTGCACTGCGTTCGTCGAAATGAAATAGAGGGAACAACGGGGTCTACGTGTCTCTTGCCTAATGTCACTGACTGAGCCGATCAATGTCAGTTATGATCACTTTTCACACAGCAGACAAACGAAAAGGGCGGGCTGCTAAGGCCACATGCAGCAGTGGGCGAGGCGAGGGAGAGACAGCTGCATGCAGACAAGCCGCGGCCGGCCCGGGCGTGCGTCGTAACGCAGTAATCACATGTGCGACGGACCAAAGCGAGCCGGAAGTGTGCGGTAGCACGACAATCGCAAGCGTTAAGCCGCGCTAAGAGCAAGGGGGAACATACTGTTACCCCCCCCCCCCCCCGCTAAAAAAGACGTCGATGAACTGAATTTCTTTCACTTGAGTGATTTCGTCACTCAAGAAAGTGTTTGGCTCATCCCCCGACATTTCGGGATGTATCGATGAAAGCTGCGCTGTGGGACGTGGGCTCACGCAGATGGGCCCTCTAACCCTCTGAGCTGGGGACACTGGTATCGTTGATGATCGTGATAAGGGCTTTAGAGCGCGCCGGGTGTAACGGTCATATGGCGTCCACCACTTACTTTTTATTTGACAGATGCGCGAAAAAAAGCACGGAAACAATCTTACGTACGGTATTTGGCATGAAATGCACGTCTTCAACAAAATCTAAAACATGACCGTCGTTTACCGAACTCGAGTCATCCCCGAAGATGCCAGACAGCGTATGGCGCACGGAACCTGATCCAAAATGGCGCACGCGTTCCAAAGCGAGGTGCGCACAATCTATCAAGACATGACGCACGGTGTAACGCTCCCCACAGCGAGGACACCGCGGTTGATCTTCCCCACATAACAGGCATCGGTGAGTCGCGTATGTACTCAGGCGGCATAGGATCACTTTATCCCGCCTTAACTTACGGCAGCTGGACGTCCATGGTCCCGACCGGTCCTTCTCAGTTTGCTGGCAGTGTGCACATCCCAATTCGTTTGCCACTGCTTGTGCGTGAATGCGGTTACTTCTGCATACAGGTCGCTGGCAGGGACTGTCATAGTGGGGAAGCGACTTGTGTGTGTGTGGCACGCTTCGCCGCGGCATCAGCTACTTCATTGCTCGATGTACCAACGTGACTCGGTATCAAGTAGAATACAACCTACTTACCGGGTCGGAACAGCATAATAACGAGAGCTAAACGTGAACGAAAGGAGGCCATGAATCAAAATCCTGCAAAGCCGTAAGGTTGATAAAAGAGTGCGATCAAACTGCGTGTCGATCGTCACTGCCCCGTACTATGAAATAGAGCGCTCTAAAAATGGCTACTAGTTCGGACGTGTAGACCGATACATGACCCAGCAAAGCGAAAGACCGGGTGATAAGGCGCTGCACAAAAGCGCATCCAACACCGGCATGCGCTTCTGGTCCGCCCGTGTAAGTCTCCTTGTGATCCCGGTATGACAGATGACAGACAGATGCGCGAATGGAGGGGTCTCAGGAATTTCGCAACGAATCGCATGCCGCGTGCAGACGCCACATTCCTGTGAAAGTACGAATATCCTCACACAAAAGAACGCATCTTATGACCTCTCCCAGTCAGAAACACGCGCATTGTTCTGCCCGAAGAGACACTCATTTATATCTTGGGTGGTCGGGGAACTGCGCCAATTAACAGGCATATCTCATGCCTAGAATATTTCCCGTGGTGGGCAAAGGGGACTCGCGGGCATCGATCGAGGCTTGTCGTCGGATAGGTCCTGAATACTACTGTAGTGATGCGCACGGCAGTATGATGGATTGCCCTCAATGAGCGCTTCCCTAAGTTACTAGCCGCGTCGTAAACAAAAGAAGCATAATCGAGCTTGGATCTGATAAGGGAACGATAGAAGAGTAAAAGCGTGCTGTAAAACCAACCGCGGTTTTCCTGTCCGCACCATATGACTGCGTGCTATGCGTGCAATGCACTTCACGACGATCAATCAGGACGATTAGGATTTCAGGACGACGACGCGATCAAATTGCACGTCCAGGGGTGGGACAACAGGCTCAGATGGGATCGTTTCGCTATACATTCAAATCGCTACACCCTGGCAGCGATTACAAGGGCAACAAAAGTGCATGCCTTCTGTTTTTAACGTGGAGAATTGAAAACCATTGAGCGTCGCCCATTTCTCCGAACATGTTACGGCTAGTTGCCACTGACGCTCCATCGCTGAGGTAAGAGACGACCTGCACCAGATTGGAAGATCGTCGACGAACAGCGAGCGACTTATGAACTGAGGCAATACGTCTCAGGCGTCGTCGATCTCAAGCGCAAAAAGCGCGTCCCATAGTACACCACCCTGGGGTTCATCGCTTCGTTGTAATAAGCGATGAGAGAATTGATGACCAACGCAGACGCGAAAACATTCGGTGTCGTAAGCAACCTCTTTGTCGCAGAAGACATCCCCCACACGCAACGCTGTTTAGAAGTAGCACGAACAACGGTACCCAAGGTAAGAAGATGGTCAAGCGTTCCACGGTGTTTCCTAAAGCCACACAGGGATTAACCAAAAATACCATTGACGGGCCTCTCTATCGGCTTAAGCAGCGAAGATGCCAGAGAGATGGGATTGTAGTGAAGCTGGTCTTTGCCGCTCTTCCCTGGTGCCGAAAGGGGCACCACAACAGCTTCTCGCCAAGCACTCAGAAATTCGTCTCGCTTCCAAAGACGATTCCAAAATGGCTACGAGAAGGTCCAGTACACAGATGTCGGATTATGTCGTCACGCATCTCGTTAGGAATGTCCGGCTCACCAACCTGTAAAACGGCACCGGGACCGCGGAATACTGAGCTGAGATCCACACCGGGCCAAAGCTCTAGCCTCGCTAAATGCAACTCAACTGCCGGTTGTAGTGTGACGGTCAAAAGCCCGGAAGGCCCGTCTTCGTGCCCGGGTAACAACAGCTCGGCACTCGTCCGTCCCCCACCGCACCGGGGTGCGACGGGAGGCCCCAGATGTCTTTGTAATTCTTGAGTTCGCTGCAGGTCAGAGAGCAGACGTCTGTCCGATCGAGTCGCTTGCACCACCCGCGGACCATGCACCCAAGTCCACCTCGAGCCGGGACTCGAACTCACCCCAATCTGCTTTCAATATTCCACCGTCGTGGTGGAGGGCCGAGGACCGGCTCGTCGCGGTACTCTAACCACACTGGGAAGTGATCGCCGCCCACGGGCTCGTCGGCTAGTCCACGCAAAAACCTGCGCGAGCTGCAGGCTCACCAAACGTAGGTCCAAGACCGACGCCTGACGCGACGCTACTGAGATACGTCCGGGATTCCGCATTTAAAGCGCAGAGTGACTGCTCGTGAATAAAATGTTCAAAACTACATTTCCGCAGGTTGCTGTCATCACAACCCCAAGTGGTACGCAGTGTGTTAAAATCTCTCAATATGGCCAAAGGCGAGGGGCTCTGCCATCAGCAGTCCGAGCTGCACCAATGGAACATCGCTGTCGTTAGCCGAGTTGTCTCAGCAAAGGTGCAGTTTCCGGTGGGGTTGGTTGAAAGAAAATTCATGCAAGTCGTTTTAAACATTCGGTACCGGGGATCCCCACTCACCCCGGAGCTCTGCTGGAGGACCGCACAACACTCCCCCGGGAGGTGGTTACCGCCAGGGCTACCCCGGTGCTATCCGGAGGGAATGAGGCCTCCCATATGGACAGGTGTAACCAGGGAGACCTCTCACCGGCCTGACCGTGGTTCAGCACTGCGCCCCTTCACTCCTTCAGCCACCGCGCTCAGTCGGGCGCACCAAGCGGAAACCCGCCGTGGGCAGCAGGCGTGCAGCGTAGGTGGCAGCCCCCCGGACCCGTACGGCGACCTACGCGTCCACCTCCCCCCCCCCCCTTCCCACGCCCCCGGGTATCCTAATCAGTCAAGTGTTGGGACGCATCTTGACTGATTCGCGCGATGTGCCCCTCAGCCATCACGATCTGATCGACCCGGGGACGCGAGCGAGAGGGCACGGCGACCCCGACAATACGAGGATGAGTGGTGAGAGTGCCGAATGATGGAGGGGAGCGGGAGTTCACCTATCCGCAGGGTCACTAGGCCCGGAAATGAGCAGCTTGCGCTGCCTACCCGCTACCGAAGCTGGGACCCGAGGGGGCGCTAGTCCCCTACACCATCTGAAGTAGGTGCCCTACGGGGACACCGGTTTCGTTCCGGCTTTGAGTGATATGGTATGACATGTCAGCTAACTCGGGCCGCCGTTTCGCCACAAACGTGACAACGGCTCTGCGGATCTGGAGGCAACGCAATAGCTCCTGACAAGCGGACTCGGGGACAAGACCACACCGGCCGTCGCTGACAAGCGGAGCTGGCGGCCACGTTCCCGGCGGCGGCTCGTCTCCCAGGGCTTACACCCCACATGGTTGGGCCCAATGCAAGCAGAGACTGCTAAAGCCATGGGTCGACAGCTGGGACGCGGCCGTCGCTGCGGGTGCGCTGGCCCAGCATCAGCGTGTAGTCGGCGGCAGCGTGACAGCAGACACCGGACGAGCACCCTGCGACCGCGCGGCCGGCTGACCGTTCGTGAGCTTCGCGCCAGACGCTGGACTCTGCGTCCGGTCCCGACTCGCCTCCAGCGCCCAGTCGCAGCGGTACCCGACCAATGACGGCACACGGCGACCGGCCGTCATTCACACGCGCTCCCCGCCCGCGCCCGGTCAGAGCGCGCCGCTCCCGCGCCGCCGCAGGTGGCACGTTCATCGGAGTCGTCCGGCGACCGCAGTGGCGAGCCACTTACTCCTGATCCGCGGTGGTGCGCTGCTGGTGGTCCTGCGACACATTGCTCCACAGCTCGTGCAGCAGCAGGGGCTGGAACGTGCCGACATAGTCGGCGTGACTTTTGTAGGACATGAGCACTTTCGAGACCGGCAAGTCGCCGGCTACCGGCGGTGGCCTCCTATGGCGTTTCTCCTCCTACGGGCAGCCAAGAGCACGCGGCGACAAAGCCATCACACACCCGCACCACTGGCCGACCTGGCTGACACTGGCCGACCAACCTACAGCACGTGGCTACAAACACGACCGGCACAGCCAGACCAACCCCACCACAAGCACACCTTGGCATTTGCGTCATCCCGCATTTGTCTTCATGTGTTCATTTATTCCTGGAGCTGCATATACTACACAGGCATACATTCCCCAAGATAACCAGTCTGCGACCGACGTGTACAAGAACACTACTGCCCACCGGCTAGCACCACTTCCACCGCATCTCCTCTTGACATCTCTTCGTCTGATGCTAACACAAGTCACCGAGACGTGACCCGCCCCCACAAAACACGACCAGTGCCCGCTGCCGCTGCCGTTTTTACCTGCAGCCACGGGTAGCGCCACCCGAGGATGTGCCAGAGGACCTCGCCCACGGCCGGCGGAAGGCGCAGCGTGCAGTCGCGCGCCGGGATGAACTGCGTCCGGCAGATCCGGTCCTCTGGCGCGAACCTCACGCGCGTCTGGTGAGGCTGTCGCTCGCTCGTGACGACGCCGGCCGGCGGCCCAGCGCGCGCGGCCGCCACGCCGCGCCGGCCGGCGCCGTTAGGCCGGCCCGAGGAGCTAGCCGATGCCGGGGTGGAACTCGAGGGCCGAGCAGCGGCGGGCGTGGTCGAGGTGCGCGCGGCGGTGGCACGGTTGGCGGCGGCGGAGGAGGACACAGGCGCAGGCGCAGAGGTAGCGATCGCCGCCGCGTTGAAAGCCGCAAGGCTCGGGTGGGGCGCATGCGCCCTACGGCACTTGGTCCGGCCCGAGACACTGTCGGGAAGCAGGGGGTCGGTGGCCGCAGGCTCACCTGCTGCGGAGCTGGCCGGCGGCAGCGGCGGGGCCGCCGCCGCCGCCGCCGACACGCGAGGGGTGTCCCGTTCTGAGCGCGGCAGGTACTTGGAGCTCTTCTTGTTGAAGGAAATCTTGCGAATCTCCTCCGCCAGCATGCTCCCGCGCGTTCGCTGCGTCAGCTTGGCCTTGGCGGCAGTCTTGGACTTAACCGGCACGCGCGGGGCCCCTTGTTCTGACACCTGTTGTCGGGCCAGATTCTTGAGCAGCGGTCGACGCTGCTCGACTACCGCCTGCCGCGCCAGCTGCGGCGGCTCGAATGGCGGGAGGGCGGGAGGCGTCGGCGGCTCGGGCGGGGCGGACTGCTCTGACAGTCGGCGGCGGCCGGGCTGCTTCGGCGGCTGTGGCTCCCCCAGCGAGACGCAGCGGCTGGTACGGTGCCGGCGGCCACGCGGCGGCCGCGGCAGAGCTTCCATGGTGCGGATAGGAGCGCGCGCAGATTCCGTGACCGGCACCACGCGGCCGCTGATGTGCACGAGCCGCTTGGCCAGCCCAGAAGCAGTCGCTCGAGGTGCCGACAGCGGCCGAGAGGGCGGCAAGGACGGCACGGACGGTGCTGACGGCGGCAGGCTGGTTTCGCAGCCCACTGTGCCAGTGGCCGTCGGCGGCGGACTGGCTTCGCGGCTGGCTTCGCGGCTGGCTTCGCGACCCACTGTGGCGGTCGACGTTGGCGGCGGGCTGGCTTCGCGGTCCACTGCAGCGGCTGTCGGTGGTGCGCTGGCTTCGCGACCCACTGCAGCGGCCGTCCGCGGTGGCCTGGCTTCGTGGCCCATTGCGCCAGCCGGCGGCGGTGGGCTGGCTTCCCGACCCACTGTGGCTGCCGACGTTGGTGGGCCGGCCCCGCGGCCCGTTGCGCCAGCCGACGGCGGCGGGCTGGCTTCCCGACCCAATGTAGCGGCCGACGGCGGCGGTGGCAGGGACCTGGCCCGCTCTGCGGCAGGCGGACCGTCGGCCAGCGCCGTCCGCTCGGCTGCCTCTGCCGCCTCTGCGACCTCGCACAGCAGCTCATCGTCGCCGTCGTCATCCAGCTGGCCGGTCGTCTCGCCGTCCCGTTGGACACTAGGCATCTGCAGCGTGTCGCAGAACTCGTCCACGATGGTCTCCTCCTTGATGCGCTTGAACGGGACGTAGACGTCGTCGTCGTCCGAGCCCGGCGAGGCGGCGCGCACCGCCGGCTGCGAGCTGCTGAAGTAGTCGTCGTCGTCCGAGATCACGATGACGGCGTCATCCTGCGAGTATCCGGACGTGGCCGACAGCAGGGCCTCGTCGTCGGGCAGCGGCAGCGGTAGCCGGCCGCACGGCCACTTGACGTCATTAATCTCCACCGACTCGCCGCCAGAGGACTCGGAGCTAGCGCCTCGGTCGCGCGCATCGACGGCAGGACCGGCGGCGTGGTCCGCACCGGCAGCTCGGGCTCCGCTCGTCGTAGGTCCGCCGTCGAGCAGCTGGCAGGCGTGGTCATCGGTGGTGACCGAGGCGCCGCCTCTCCCCGCGGCCTCGCCATTGAGCACCTCGGTCGTTGGCTCGGAGGCCGGCGCCGAGACGGTAGTTTCAGTGACCGATTTCAAGGCGTCGCATTGCCGCACAGCGGCGTCATCCATCCACCCAGTGTTCGGTGTATTGGGTGGTCGAACGGCAGCCGCCTTGGCCTTACGCACGGTCGCCACATCGGTCACCGGCGGCGACATGGTTTGTGTTCTGGTGCCCGGCGTCAGGGCACCAGTGGGAGAGTCATCAGTAGCGCCCACCACCGTCGGGCCCGGCACATACTCCAGAATCTCGACGTCACTAGCACTGCTGTCCTTCGCATCCGCCTCAGGGATTCGGCCATTGTCTGGATCGGGTCTTGCAAGGGCGAGCGAGGGGAGCCCCGGACGAGAACGAGCTTCGGAAGAGCGGGGGATGGCAAGCGGCAGACCGCTTGTCGTCAGCGCCTCTGTCGGTCTATCGTTGGCGGCGCCGGACCCGGCGCCCCGTCTCTCAGACGACTCGGCTTCAACCACTCGGTCGCCGGCTGGCTCCTCACCCTGACCGCGGCCACTACCGGAGACCGCTCGCTGGTCACTGGATGAGCCTGCGCTGACCGGGCGGCCGCTGACCGCTGGCTGACCATCGGTCGGCCACAACCGCTCACTGCTCGACAAGGCCTGGCCACTGGTCGGCGCCGGCGCCGGCGCTGGCGCAGGCTCAGGCCGGCCAGCGGCGGCAGAGTCCGACTCAATGCATCGCCTCTTCGAAGGCGGCGACAAGGCGGCGTCTGATGCTAACTCCGACCGCGGCGACCGGGCTGGACCTGCGCGCCGGGTCCGGTGCCGGCACCAGCGCCGGCACCGGGCCCGGCGCCGGCGCTGGCGCAGGCTCAGGCCGGCCAGCGGCGGCAGAGTCCGACTCAATGCATCGCCTCTTCGAAGGCGGCGACAAGGCGGCGTCTGATGCTAACTCCGACCGCGGCGACCGGGCTGGACCGCGCGCCGGGTCCGGTGCCGGCACCAGCGCCGGCACCGGGCCCGGCGCAAGCAGGCGCGGGGCCGCCGGCGCCGGCGCCCGCGGCGTTCTCGTCGCTCGGGCAGCGGCGGCCCACCTGCTGTAGACGGGAGAAAGCGTTACGGGTCGGTGGGTTCGAGAACACTGCGACTGTCGGCGACGGCCGAGGCTTGGCAGGTCGCATCACACGCTGCAGACTGCCTCGGAGAGTAGGAGCACGGACCGGCAATCTGGAGCACAGACTGGCAATCTGCACGTACGAGACTCACACGCAATCTACGTATTTGGGTGAAAACGTCCGCAGCTTTGGTACGACTGACAACATGGCGTGATGCCCATGAGGCCAATGCCGGTTAAGAGCCGTGCGACATAGTCAAATGATACTATCCCCAACGGCGAGTTGCAGGCTTTCACTGTCCCCCAAAAAATGTTTCCTATCATGTCCAGGCACACAGTGACAGTCACATAAAACGGCTTCAGCGGGAGGGGGGGGGGGGGGGGGGGGACTTTTAATAGGTGGATCGCTGTGCGTTGATACATTTCGCACATCAATGAAAACCCCGCGCACCAGGTTGCCAATTACGCCAGTAACAACATTTTCACTGTGCCTGTGATTTGCTCTTCTGACCGACGACTCTGACGCTATGACTACGGACGCACAACTGTGGGGCGGATTCAACATCGACGATGCCCTCAGAGAATCAGGCGCCAGACTGAGGACTGAAGCAGCTGTCTGCTACTGGGCAAGACGATGGCCGGGGGCACCGCCGCAGGATGTGAGGGCCGCGCGGACCCACCCTAGTCAGCCGGCGCGGGTCGTCAGCCACCACGACGAACACGAAGCAGTCGGGGTCTGTGTCGTCCGGTCCGCCGAGGCCCACCCGCTGACCGAGCGACAGCGGTCGCCAGGTTCGCGGCACGACCGGCTCCCAGTCCAGGTACGTCCCGTTGGCGGACTGCCGGCGGCTCACAACACACGGTCAGAACCCTGCCAGTCCGGCCGCCACGGTTAGCAGCTGCTCCCGGTCACGGCCGCACGGTTAGCAGCCTGCTCGCCAGTCACGGCCGCACGGTTAGCAGCCTGCTCGCCAGTCACGGCCGCACGGTTAGCAGCCTGCTCGCCAGTCACGGCCGCACGGTTAGCAGCCTGCTCGCCAGTCACGGCCGCACGGTTAGCAGCCTGCTTGCCAGTCACGGCCGCACGGGCAGCAGCCTGCTCGCCAGTCACGGCCGCACGGTTAGCAGCCTGCTCGCCAGTCACGGCCGCACGGGCAGCAGCCTGCTTGCCAGTCACGGCCGCACGGTTAGCAGCCTGCTCACCAGTCACGGCCGCACGGTTAGCAGCCTGCTCGCCAGTCACGGCCGCACGGTTAGCAGCCTGCTCACCAGTCACGGCCGCACGGTTAGCAGCCTGCTCGCCAGTCACGGCCGCACGGTTAGCAACCTGCTCGCTAGTCACGGCCGCACGGTTAGCAGCCTGCTCGCCAGTCACGGCCACACGGTTAGCAGCCTGCTTGCCAGTCACGGCCGCACGGGCAGAACAGGTCCGGGCGGCAGAGGCCGTCCCACGAGCTGATCGGCAAGCAAGCGCATCTTTCCGACAGAAACAATATCTAGCCCGAACACGCCGCATTCAGCGGCGCGATTGCTCGTCTGTTTAAACATCGCTGGTGTTTCTGCAGGACACCACATCGCACGTCTGTACAGCGCGCCAGGGCTAGTACTCACGGATAGGTCGAACACAGCCCAATGGCCGCCGCCGCCCGGATCCTGGCGGTACTGGAACTGGCAGTGGCAGCGCGAAATGTAGCGGGACACGCAGTGGATGTCACATTTCCCCCCGCGGCCCGCCAAGATCGGCTGCAGACATAAGGCAACATTGGCACACCCATAAGCCCCATGCCAGCTGGGATGTCCCGACCAGATGTCCTGGACTGTGGCGAATTGAAGCATCACTGAGCACATGTCTAATCATGATGGGAATTGATATAGATGTGATTTAATGCCACCAGATTAGAAATACATGGGGTTTGTAACACATGTAAACACTGCAGTCTTTTGTTGCAGATGCACACTGCAAATAAGGACTGGCATAGCTAGTCCCAGTGAATTTGCAGTTTTAATTGCACGTGCGTGGAACACTAATGCCAGGACCTGATGAAATTT